TTTGAGACTTTTGTTCAAAATCTCTACGCCGTCTTCGAAGGTTCCCAGCAATTCCTACTGAAAATTTCCTCTGTTCCTCCTCTGCCTCCACAAACGTGTATAGGTTTATTTTTCTTAAACCCTAAACCACCGTATATGCCTATTTATAACCTTAAACTATAAACCCTAATCCATGTATAATTCGGCCCATAAGTAATCCTAGGTTAAAATCATGTCGGCTACTTATGTGTATACCAAATATGCAACCAACCCTACTGTAACGTGAAGTTTAGAAAATACTTATCTGTAATTAAATAATTTTATATCATTTATATAAAACAATTAAAATTAAAATACCAAATATAATTTAAACCATACATCTCAAATAAACCAAATAAAGCAAATAAAAACAATTTATGAAATAAAACAATTAAATAACGCTATTAACCAATTAAAAATGCAGTTAAATAATTAATGAAATTCCAGGACCGTCCTTTGTAAATTTAAGGGTATTACACCGAATGCCTAGGAGGCGTCTAGTGGTCTGTGGTGTTAATGTAGTCTAGAAGGGAGTGTGGTTGAGTTAACTAGGCTGGATGCGATGCCTTGGAGGTGCCTTGTGGTCGTGGATAGTTAGCCAATCTTCCTTTCGTGAAGCCTTGGAAGTGCTTTGGGTCGGATTACACTAACGATTTGGAAGTTGAAACGAAGATGTTTCGGATAAGGGGAGCGACATGGGCATGGCATTACACTTCATTGTCATACATGGTATACTTGTGACTTTGATGACAATTGTGGTTATATTTGACGTTGTGGTTATAGATTGTATCCCTGGTATAGTATGATCCCGTTCTCTTGATTTCTATTCTATACGTAGATTCACGGAGTCATAAGAAGTGTGTCTTAGACACCTCCTACTGAGTTTATGCTCACCCCATTATTTTAATATTTTTCAGGTTTAAGAAAGGAAGTAGCGGACGACGTTCCTCTACAGGTCTTGATGGGTTAGTGGACTATTTGACCTATTTTGTAGTTATGACCTCATATTATTATTATTATTACTAGTATTATTATCATTATTATGTATTGACATAGGAAATGACGGTAGTGCCCTTAGTTGACCCTGGGTTCGGATAAGGACCCGGTTAGCGATTCGGACCCTCGGGTTCGGGTCGTTACATCATCCTCACCACCCAACGGCGACTCTATAATCTAGACAACTATAGACAAAGCCTCAAATCCTTACCTCCAAAAACAAGCCAAACCATAGAGCTCTGTACAAAACACAACAAATAGGCTTGTCGCCAAAAACCTCCACCCCTAACCAGCATATCAGAACACTAGATATTCTTGAGTCGATCACCATCCAACGGGACAGCAATAAAACTACAAATCAGAACAAACATTATAATGAAACAAGAAATACAATAGAAGAGAGCAATACCCAGATCAAAAGGAAAGCTCGGCATAACTTGGGTATTTATTCCTCTAAGGTGCAAAAACCCCAAGTTTACAAGCCTCCTCTCACATGCCCCTCCGGCTAGGCAACCGACAAGGTCTACGGACTGGACAAAAGAGAGAAACCATTGTATAAAAATCACACCTTCTTGGAGACATCTCCAAACTCTGATGAATAGAGGACCTCGACGTAGCGAGAAGCATGTTGAAACTCAGTTCAACATCTCTCACGGAACCTCCCTCTCCCTCCCCCTCTCAAACTATGGAATCACTATATCGCTGAAACCTGATGTAGATGAGTGAGAATCGCCGTTGAAACCACACGCTCTGAGTGAGAATCTTCGTCAAAACCACATTCTCGGATGGAAAATAGGGAAGGTGATGCTCAAAAACCCTAGCAAAGAGGGGAAAGAAAGAAAGTAGAGCCAGTCAATGCTTTTTTTTGAAGCATGAGATTGGAATAGGGAGGGAAATAGCAAACATGAAAGTCAAATTGACAATTGGTCAAAGTGTTTGTTGGTGCATTTAATATTTTTTCATTAAAGAAAAATAAATGTAAGTGTTGTAATTAGACTTGTCAAACGGATCGGATTTTGATACAAAGTCGAATATAGAGTACAAATAATTTGATTTGATAATAATTTAATCCGGTTAAAATCATATATATATATATATATATATATATATATTATTGCATTACTATATATGAATATTATATGTATTAGTTATCTACTAGTATTAAATTTATATATATTAATTATTTATCAATATATTCATTTGGTTGCATAGTTATATTCTGCATGGTCTTATACATTGACAATTACTCAGTCATTCCATCTAACCTTATATCTATACATGTCATTTTAATCTTTGTAAAAAAATAATAAAAAATAAATAAAAAGTAATATATCCAAAGCTAAATATGATATGAATTGGAATATTCAATCCTATAACCCGTTAAGGATCTGAATTCGATAATCCGTTAGCTTAAAAATCAAATATGAATTTGATTGATCCGATCTGGATTCAAATCCGATCCATTGACAAACATAGTTGTGATAGGCTGGCTAATTGAAATTTGAAATAGGAAAAAACTATCATATATATTTATTGTTATGTTGGTTGTAACTTGTAACTAAATTTGTAGAGAAAACTCACTCAAATATATCTTGAAATAAGAATTGAGTAGTAATATTGTAACTCTTTTGAGCTTGAAGCTTTTTTTTTTTTTTTTTTTCATTTTAGCTTGGTATCTTTTGGAATTTGAATTTGGTTCGTAAAAAAAATGAAGGGGCACTGTGTCACAATTGCATCATTGTTCTTTTATTTAAATATAGAATATAAAAAAATATTCATTACTATTCTCAAAGATTGATATTTTGTTTCTATGCACTTTTTAAGAACAAGCTTGCTTATGATGTAGTAATATACAAGAAATTTTCTTCTAAATATGATATATGATCTTGTGGTTTGAGACATTCGACAATTGAGTGTGGCAAAAAATTTTATTTTTTAATAAATAAAAATAAAAAAACAAAAGGTATTATTAGACTTGATAATAATATGTGTTTCATATATGTGTTTGTATATATCTGAACCGTGTGCACCCCTACATATACAATATGTATATGTAGGGGTGCACACGGTTCAGTTTGGATTAGTTTAAGAGTTTTTTGGAATCAAACCAATTCTAACGGATTCATAAAATTTGGAATCAAACTGAACCATTTGACCAAAGGAACCAAACCATACCAAATCGTGAAAAACCAGTTTGGTTCGGTTCGGTTCCACGGTTCCCTTTTCTTTTTTTTTTCTTTATTGTTACAGAAGTATTCATATTATCCACATGCACAACAATAAACCAAGTTACTAGCACATTCAGAACTATTAATATATTCAGAACTTTTAACTCAATTATCCTTCTCTATCACGTTTAGAACTAAAGTAAATAAATTCAGAATTGATAATAATCTAATACATTTAGAATTACTAATTCAATAACAAACAATCACCCACAATTCAATTCAGCCACTAAAAAAAAAAAAAAAATGTATAATAAATTGATAAGACCTAAGATTGGACCATATGATTGATAGTTGCTATAAACTTCTAAGTGATTTGGATTATAGGATTATATTATATTATATATATTCTATAATTTAACATATATATATATATATATAATTATATATATTATAAGATTATAACATAACGGTTCGGTTCGGTCTAGTTCGGTCCTAAAGGACCTTAAACCGTGACCAAATCGTATCTTTACAATTTCACAAATTTAGAATCGTGACCGAACCAAACCATTAGCAAACCAAACCAAACTGTCTGGTCTAGTTTGGTTTGGTTTGGATTTTCTGTTTGACTGGAATTTTGTGCACCCCTAGGTATATGTATAAGAAAATGGTACTCACTTCGAAGAGGGCGGCTCCACTTGAGTAGTTGAGTGCATTCATGAAAAACCTAGTTCGGCTCCTCCTTTCACATAAAAGAAAGGAAAGGGAAGGGAAGGAAGGTTCCTCCAACAATAAATCGTATTGGCATATCACTCTCCATTTTTTCCCTATCTAATTAATAAAACTTTTTAACTCCATCACCATATAGTCTAAAATAAGAACTATCTAAAACTTAAATCACTTTCCAAATTAACAAGAAAAAGATATAATCAATTACATTGCATTTATGCTTATGCAATGAACTCTATATAATCCGAGCGGTTAAAGTTAAAAAATAAAACCCTAGCTACGGACAAAATGTTCAAATAGTCCCTAATGTTCAAATAACTATATATATATGTGGAGTGAGAGTGTGTTTAGAGAATCCCAATCCGATTCAATCCCTAAAATCAAATCAAATTAAGTCTTCCTATGAATTGGATTGGATTTAATTTTAACCAATTCGTAGTGATCGAATTGGATTAAGTTTAATGCCTAATCCTATCCAATTCGTGATCACACCTAGTGTGTACATATATAATATTTTTTTCATCTCTAACGGGTAGGAATGAGGTGGTGAATCCAATTTGTGAAGGAGGATGTTATCAAAAATTGAAAAGTTCAAAACGTTCTGGAAAGAGTTTTGGTTTTAAAAGGGACTTGGTAGGGGAACCCTTCCCGAATCCTCCAGTTGTCGTCATTAACGCGGCAGTATTTCTCAAAATAGAGGGGAGTCGTGTGATATTTTTGCTAAATCGAGGGGAGGTGACTATAATTTACTCATTTTTTATTTTTCTTTTTTTCTTTTTAAATTTAGTAGTCTGAACTTTCCGAAAGGACATTGTTCATCTCCTAACTATTAATGTGACAAATAATAAAATGACAATATCTATTTGAATTTAAATTATATAGTCCATATAAGAAAAAAAAATCTTTTCTTTTTATATTTTAATTTCTAAATAAATACATGTTATTGTACATTAGTGTGGACAAGGAACTCAACGATTACGGCTCAAAGTATTGTTGTGGGGACAATGTTGCGTGAAAAGATTAAAAAGGAAAGATGCTTGTTGTTGAGAAATGGTTTTTTACTGCAACGATTTATTCTTTGCACTTCCTTGACATGTGAGGAAAGTAAAAGTGAAATTCCTTCTCTCCCCTGTATAACACGTGAGGCTTTCTGTCCCTAGCTATGCTAGCTCTTCTCTCTCATACACAAAAAGCCCGCCAAAATCTTTCTGTTCATCCGATCTCATTTTAGTTTTGAAAATGGCAGAAGGTTCATGGACCTACGACGTCTTCTTGTCGTTCAGGGGTCCCGATACTCGCCATTCATTCATCGACTTCCTATACTATGCTTTGGTAGAGCATGGGTTTTCCACATTCAGAGACGACAACAAACTTAGACGAGGAGAAGCGATTGGGCCCGGATTGCTGAGAGCGATTGAGGAATCGAGGGTCGCCATCGTCGTGTTATCGAAAAACTACGCGGCCTCGAAATGGTGCCTCGATGAGCTTGAGAAGATCATGGAGTGCAGGAGGACTTTGAGTCAGTTTGTTCTCCCTGTTTTTTATGGTGTAGAACCGTCCGATGTGCGGCACCAGAGGGGAGTTTACGCTGACACATTTGCCTGGCACCAACAACTTCACGGCGACGACCAGGTTCAGAGGTGGAGAGCTGCTTTGACTGAGGTTGCCTATTTGTCGGGTCTAGTATTGCCAGACAATGACGGGTACTTTTTCTGAATATTCAAATACCTATTTTTAAAGTTTGACTCATCCAACAAACTATATATTTATTTGAAGAGTTTGATTACGTCATTATAATCCATGATATGATGACATTATCTACATTCGCATAAAATAATTGAATTATTGTATTACTAATTATTTTCTTTATCACCATTTTTTTTTTTTTTTTCTTTCTTTTTCTCTTTTTGCTTTTTTTTAACCAACGTTATTGAAATGTAAGCTGACCAAGAAATTATATGAGGTTTTTTTTTTTTTTTTTTTTTTTAGGGGACAATTTAGTTGAAAAAAAGAACAAATCACCCGTATTAACAATATTAAAAATAAAATTCAGGGGGGTAATTTACTGTGTCTAAGTCCGTGCATGAATGTAAGGGTGGTCTAATTTAATCACTTTCTTTAACATTACTAACGGATCGGTTAGGGTTGCAAGTTAGGCTGGCCAAACCCAGCCCAATCTCAACCCGAATTAGGTTGAGTTGGGCCAGTTAGAATTATACTTAACATGAGTTATGATCAAAACCCAGCCCGATAATTTTCGGTTCGGATTGACGGGTTTTTTTTTTTTCAGAAATTTATATATATATATATATATTTGATTATATTATTAGTAAAAAACAAAAAAAATTTAGGGCAAATCATTTCAACCTCCCCAATCGCCTCCAGATCTCATTCTCAACTCTCTCTCTTTCTCTGCAACTGCAAGTGGATTGTTGTACTTTCTCTATAACAAAACATCATCATGGTCAATCAAAAGGGATTATTAGTTTACATTTGAAGTTCATAATTAAACAGCATACACACACACACATATACGTGTAGATATTAGAGATGAATTTCAACTTACTTGAGAGCTGAGCACCAGAATCTACAAGGTAACTTGGTTTCCCAGTATAATTAGGTTCATTAGCTGATCTGTCTGGAAGAATCAAAAGTTCAAAACCCATATATTACAGATCTATATGCAAGAATCAAAAGTTCAAAACCCATATCGGCATATCATTTCAGATTGTTCAAAAAATCAAAACCCATATCTTTCAGTTTCCATCGCCCACTGTTCCAATTCGGGTTCGCCGTTCGCAAGCTTCAGCCGCTGTCTCTCAACTCTCAAGCTTGTCCCCCTCTCTCTGCAACTGCTAACTTGTATGTATGGGTTTTGTTTAAATTTTTGGAAATGACGGCAGCGGCGATGGATCAATGGCTGAGAGACGGTGGCAAATCAGCGGTTGAGGGCGAGGAACGACGGTGGCAGCGGTAAATCAGTGGTAGCGGGGACGGTGGTTGAGAGAGAAAGAGAAAGAAGAGAGAGAGAGAGAGAGAGAGAGAGAAGGAAAGGAGAATTTTTTTTTTTTTTTTTTTTTTTTTTAAATTTTGGATTTTGGGTTGGGTTGGGTTCAGGTTGAGCCTGAGTCCAACCCGAACATGAACCTGATTTGTGAATTGTATGTCTAAATTTCAAAATTTCTGGCTTGGGGCTGGGCTGGGTTAGCCCGCCCAAGTTGCAACCCTACTAACGACTTTATGGTACAAATTTAGAGAGAGAGAGCGCCCCTTGCGTCCGCGGGCGCCCGGGGGGGTGGAAGGGATTGTGAGTTAGAAAATTTTAGAGACAGAGAAATGGGATGAATGCAATATAGAATAAATGTGTGTTGCGTGTCTATGTGATAGGTGAAATATGAGTATTCATATTTAACCTATTTTGACCCTCAAATTAAATGAATAAAAATTATTTAATCCATTTTTGACCCATTTTAAATATGATTCACCCAAAATCATTAAAAAATAGGCGAATATGAACGGGTATTGCCACCCCTAATTATGGGATACTTTCTCATTTTCTAAAGGAAAAGATTGAGAGAGTTCAAGTTCTCATTGTGGCATGTGGGTGCGTGTGGTGCACACTGTTTGGATTGGGCTGGTTTGAGAATATTTCGAAACCAAACTGTTCCCAACGATTCAACAAAAATTGAAACCAAACCTAACTGTTTGGTTCGGTTCGATTCCATGGTTTTAGGCATTTTTATAATTCAATCTAATACATACCTATAATTAAATATATATTATATATAATATAATTTCTATTATAATAATATTTTTTATTGTAGATTATGTTATATGGTTGAGTGGTTAAAAGGCTCTTCTTATTATTCTATTAATTATATAATACAACATATAAAAATATATGTACAATTTATAAAACATTTCACTTCGATTTGATTTTGTAGAATCTCAAATCGTAACCGAATCATTTATAAACAATTCTATGTTTTTGAAATCTGAACAGAACCGAACCGTGAAAAAATCGAACCAAATCTAACCGTCCAAATTGGCCTGGTTCGACTGCACTTTTCTATTTATATATGTCAATATCAACTGTGCCAGTGGGCTGTGGACTCATTTATGTGGGTTGCTGGAGGAATAATATCTATGCCATATTTGGGAACACGGGATTGGAGGAAGTTTACTTCAAAATGTATACTATCCCAAATTCAAGCAAGGCTTAGGTTTTAAAATTAAAATATACAAGCAGCAATTACTGAAATTTCTTCATATTCATATTTAAGGTTTTAATTGGAATCCAGATTCAATAATTTTAGTAAACCTCGAGTTCCCGAAATATCTTGTTTCTTTAGCTATATGATCGAATCACTTGAGAGTTGAGATTAAGTTTATGCAAAAATAGAACGACTCATTCTATCTTCACCATTCCATCAAACTTTACTAAATGCTCATCGTTTTCTTTTCTCTTTAACAAAAGATTCTAAATTGTGGAACCAAAATGTGCAGGTCTAGGTCAAATGTAATTCAAATAATCATTAAAGAGGTCAGAAATGTAACTGATTCTGCATCTTTAAGTGTTGCGGACTATCCAGTCGGAACAGACATCCGTGCTGAAAACCTCATTCGGGAGCTAAAGTTGGGGTCAAATGATGTTCGAATTGTTGCAATATGGGGGATGGGCGGATTAGGCAAGACTGCAACTGCTAAAGCTGTGTATAATCTTATACGTCGTAACTTTGACTGCAGTTGCTTTCTGTCAAATGTTAGAGCAACTTGGAAGCAATATAACGGCCCTGTTAAATTACAAGAAAAGCTTCTGTCAGATATTCTACTCGATAAAAAGTTAAGCGTGGGAGATTCTGATCATGGAATTGTGCTAATAAAACAGCGAGCATGGTGTCGAAGGGTTCTTCTTATCCTCGATGACGTGGATGATGGGGAGCAATTGAAGACATTGGCCATAAATCCTGACTCGCTATGTCCTGGAAGTAGGATCATTATAACAACTAGGAATTTGTCTTCGATAAGCTCGCTTGGACTTCAAGAGAATGAGGTGTTCACACCCATGGAGTTGGATGGGGAGGAGTCTCTTAAACTCTTCAGTTGGCATGCCTTCAAGAATAAAGGTCCTTTAGACGACTACGCAATGCTCTCAGCAGAAGTGGTGGGTTATGCTAAGGGGATTCCTTTAGTTCTTGAAGTTTTAGGTTCCTTCTTTACGGACAAAACCAAATCTGAATGGATTAGTGATTTGAAGAAGTTGAAGGAAATTCCTCACGATGATGTCCAAGGAAAACTTAAGCTAAGCTATGATTCACTCAATGGTGAACAGCAGGGCTTATTCTTAGATATTGCATGTTTTTTTGTTGGCACGAACAAAGATTTGGCAATCAAAATACTAGAAGGCCGTGGTTTCTACCCAGAATCTAATATTGGAGTTCTAGTTCGTCGTGCTCTTTTACGAGTTGATTCAGATAACCGGTTGATAATGCATGACCGGATTCGGGATATGGGTAGAGAAATTGTCCGCCAAGAATCTGTTCAAGAGCCTGGTGAACGTACCAGACTGTGGAATGAAAAGGATGTTCTTGATGTTCTGCAAAATGACAGAGTAAGAGCCAAATGCATTAATTATTTTGTTAATATAAGAGGTTTTGTTCACGGTAAGAGTGCCATCTACTGAAGTCTAACAATTAAGGGACGTGATCCTAGTTTCTTACACAATGGTTTTCTCACTAATATAACCTCTCTCTCTATATATAAATACATATTTATATAATTTCTTGTGCAACTGCTTGTATCATCAGGGAACGGAAACAGTTGAAGGGTTGCTCCTAAACTTGCAAAGATCAAATGAGCCATCGTTGAATGCGAAGGCATTTGCAAAGATGAGCAGACTCAGACTGCTTCATCTCAATTATGTCCGCCTATTTGGGAGCCACAAACATCTCTCCAGAAGACTAGTATGGCTGTGTTGGAAAGGTTTTCCTTGGTATTGCATACCATCCACTCTGTGTATGGATTACATGGTCGCTCTTGACTTGAGTAATAGCAGCCTCATAAAAGTTTGGAGAAAAACTAAGGTACGAAACTGTTTTCCTTCATTCAAACTAATCACGTTGAAATTTATCTTTCCATTCTCTGTTTCTGACAGGCTCTGGATAAATTGAAATACCTCAATCTCAGTCATTCCTCTTTGCTGACAAAAACCCCGGACTTCACTGGACTCGCCAGTCTTGAAGTATTGTTGCTTAATGATTGTACAAAGTTGCTAGATGTTCACCATTCTATCGGATGTCTACAAAATCTTCTTGTCTTGAATATGCAGAACTGCCAAAATCTTCACAAGCTTCCGCAAAGCATATTCATGCTGAAATCTCTCATCTATCTTGATCTCTCTGGCTGCTTCAAATTAGGGGAGCCAGCACATTCATGCTATTCCATCGTCCGGTCTTTGGTATCACTAGCAGGAAGTCCGGAGTTCAATGGGATGTTGCCAGCTTCTATTCAGGGATTAAGTTCTATTTCAAAACTATATCTTGAAGACTGCAATGTATCTGATGTACCCAACGAAATTGGTAGTTTGGTCTCCCTGCAATTTTTGAATCTTAGCAGAAACGATTTTGCTAGCCTACCAGCTAGCATTACCGGCCTTGCTCAACTGAAGGTCCTCTATCTAAACCAATGTACTGGACTTCAATCACTTCCAGGCCTTCCAATAAAGTTAAAGGGATTGAGTGCAAACTACTGCAGATCATTGGAAAGGATATCAATCGAATCAAAAGTGGATGAAGCCCCATTTATGACTTTTTATGGCTGCCCCAAATTAGTGGGTAACTTTGCAAATGATTTTAGAAAAATTCTACTCCAGTACCTGGTACTCTCTCTCTCTCTCTCTCTCTCTCTCTCTCTCTCTCTATATATATATATATATATATATAAACATATACTGTACTATACAAATAATCTTGCTTTGTAGTTGGCACTCATTACACACGATTGATCGCACAGGGACTTCCAGAACAAGGTGATTTTAGTATTTTCCTTCCTGGAAGTGAGGTTCCAAACTGGTGCAACTTCCAGTGTCTGGGATCATTTTTATCTTTCCTGGTGCCTCCGCTGGTAGATAGGAAGATACATGGGTGGATTTTATGTGTTGTCTTTGCTGGCTGTTGCCACAATGATGAAGACAAAAACGATGATATGTTTGCTATTTCTTGTGGTATTTACAATAAAACTATGGGCACTAAGAAGCGTTACCAACCAACAGTTGATGGCTATCCTGTGAGGTGTGAAGATCAGATGTGGCTCAACTATATGCCGCACCGGTATCTTGAATCTGAGTGGACGGAACTTGACTCTCGATTGGGAGCTGGTGATACAGTGGAGATGACAATAAGAATAGACAAGCGATGGCAGGTGAAGAAGTGCGGGGTTAGTCTCATCTATGAGGGCGGCAATGAGGAGGGTGCCGAGTCATTTGGTCAACCACACATCCAGGACACCTTGCCTTCCAATGATCAACCAGAGGGAATGGCCTCGCTCACAAGGCGTGTATCTGATGAAACATTTCTTCGCGAGATTGGAGTGTTAAAATCCAAGAAGAGGGACTAGCATTTGGCGTTTGGCTTTCCAAGTATATAATGTCAAGGTTTGTGTCAATTGACTCAATTCTAATCTGTTATGAAGATTTTTTGTCTGTAAATGTTCCTATAAGTTGAATGATACCTCGTCAATGTGTCAGTAATAAACCTTTTTTTTTTTTTTTTTTTTTTTTTGGTAGTGTTTTGAGGCATTCTTCAACACGACTTATGTAGTGTACATATTTTTTGTTCATGTTTAATAATCTTGAAAGCTAGATGAACACACCCTTTAGTGCTTATGATATAATGATTTTTATGATTTTTTTCCTTTTTAAAGGCAAGAAAGAGAACTATATATATAACCAAAATACAGAGTACCTGAAGTTGATGGAGTCTTTCAAAGCTAACTGATGAACTTCAGCAGGACAATCATCATCTCTAGCAGATGCTTGCTTTCTTGTTGATGCCAAGGATCCCAGTTCATGGGCCACTCTATTTGTCTCACGGTAAGTGAACTGAACCGAAAGTCTTCATCGACTGATAACCAGATTCTGATGAATTGGAGCTACCTGAACCTTGTCCACTGCCTTAACAAGCAGGTTGCATTCAAAGATAACCTTCTAAGAACCCCACTTCATTGCTTGCTCAAAAACTTGACAAAGCACCAATTCCTCAGCAATATCAGCCCCTCGTGATAGCCTTAATAACTGACCAGTTGAGTCTCAAGCAACAATCCTCCCCCCGCCTCCCTGAGGACATCATAGAAAGATGCAGCAGTGTTAATTTTAACCCAATCTGCAGGAGGTTTAGACCACCTAGCTTGAGCATTTCCAGGCCAGCCATCGAGAGAGGGACTTGAGGAGGATAAAATGCAAGAACAAACCTTTCATTAACCTGGCAAAATTTATAGAATTGATACTGCTCTGTTAGCAATCTCCATTTCAGACCATCAAAAACCAAGGCATTTTTGGCTTTCCTGATGACCTAACAGATATTAGCTGCTCCTTCAAGTCTGCACTATTATCAGCCATATTCCGTAAAACTGAGCTTGTCTCTCCACCATTTATCCCAACGTCCATGCCCCACTAAAGAGCATTCTATTCTTCAAACAGAGGTCAGAGTAAAACAAGTCATGACTCTTTAAGTTTTTTGTCAATGATGAAGAGAGTCGGTCACCATTCTGTGCTGTCTATTTTGTTATATTCATAAGCATATGGCATATTGGAGGCTGAGCCTGACAATATACATGGCATGATCGACATCACCACCTCAGAGCAACCACCACTTGATCACAAACTATTTCCATCCTCAGCGGTCCAGAAACAGCATCGACCAACTCATTAAAAATGTCGATCCTAACAAGTGTGTATCAGCTTTATATTCCAATGCTGGTGTCCAATAGATAATCAATTCTATGTTTGCCTTCCGCGTCTATCTAATCCTGATCAAATAGTTCAGAAGTTCAATCCAATTTCCTCTGGATAATTAATTAGTTTTATCCTTGAATTTCTGCAGCTATTCTTTAACAAACAAGTTCCCTTTAGTAGCCAACAACAAAGATCAAAACAAAATCTATCATGCCTCATATTACTACAGATCAGTTCGAGTTATTAAAAATTATTAAAAGATCATTATTTTCTCTCGGCAAATATTGGTTATATGGAATAACCCTATTATCAATGGCAAAGTCCCATATCCTAACTATCTTGAGATTGACTCAAGAATAGACTCAAGAATGCCTCCAACAACCCAATAGGCCATGTTCCTGAGAAAGCAAACCATCAACACTATCTTTTATATCTTCTCAAAGAAGGTGCCTAATATTAAGATACAATAGTACTTCTTGAGCTAGATGAACACAGCTTACTATAATACAAAGTCAGATCCCATGAAGATCTTTTGAAAGGTTTGTTTTCTGCTCCACAACAGAATAAGGGTGATGACTATAAGTCAATACCCTGTGTTGATCTGGCAATGCTTTAAGGCTCTTGTATGGGGAAAATGAATACAAATGTAACCTTGAAGTGGCAGCTTTCATATTTGAACCTGCATTCTCATACCTTTACTCCAAGCTTTTAGTATTGCATTAAGCACATTGACCCCTATTCCTAGAGCAATGGCTCCTCTGAGCAGTTTGTGAAAAAAAATCTAATAAATTAATGAGAGGCTATATGACAAAAATGATGATTATCGTAAAGACAATGTTGAAGACAAACTTAGAGGTGAACGGCCTTAGTAGTTGTCATGACTCGTTAGAGATTTACGTATAGCAGTTTGTAAAAGTAGCATGCAAAATCAATGAAAAAAGTACACAAGTACCCGGAAAAATAACATACTACGTACTAAGTCCAATTACCGATGACAACTGCACAATGTCTAACTTAATGAACTGAAACTAGATTGAATTTGTCCTAGAATATGGTAGTAACAATTGAAGTTTAAACTTACGTGAATTGCTTCATACTACCAATTTAGCATTAAACCTCCATCATGATTTTGATTCCACAGTTTTGAAATTTGAATATTGTGCTTCAAGCTTGAACCAGGACTCCAAGTCAACCAGTTCATTAAATTCCTCAAAGGTAGCCATCTTTTGGAGGTCATCTCGGGTAGTTCCTTTCTCCTTCAAAGTCTTGAGAACATCAAGCATTGAACGGGCAGATGCATAGAGGGATGTGAGTGGATGCACAATCAAATGGAAGCCCATTGCTTTCAGCTCATCTGGTGTGTGCAAGGGTGCGACCCCTCCTTCTAGCATGTTACAGACCCGGTAACCGTTTGTCCTGTGCCCAATCTCCTTCAGCTCATCATCATCTCTCGATGCCTCCACAAAGCAAGCATCAGCTCCAGCCTGCATAATTGATTTCATCAGCATGTAAATTATAAAGTTCAATAAACTCATCAGATGCTGGACAAATATCATTCGTCTCTAAGATTCTTCCAGAGGGGAGCTCTTTATTGGAGTGACGAAACTTACTTGACCATAGCAAAAAAAAAAAAAAAAATCAGAGAAGCAATTTTCCCCTTTATAAGATCTAAATCATAATTAGATATCAAAAGAAAATAAAAACACAGATCAGAATAAAGGCCTCAAAAATGTAAATTTGAACAAGCTGATTAAGAAAGAACATACTCATCTTGGAAAGCACTAAACTGTGGCCTATACCTCCATGTAAATATTTGCTCTTGAAATGGCATCAGACCATATTTTGCTGACGTTGCACGCGCATCAGTCCTAGCCACAAGAAAAAAGTCAAAATCACCAATAGCATTTCTTGCAGATGCGATCTTCACAGCATGCTCCTCTGCAGGTATTACCTGGAAAAAAATACAGGAGCTAACATGAAACTAATCCTTTAAAAAATAAATTCACAAGAGAACGCCAAAGGCTGTCAACAAAATAATTTAAGATACGGAGACAATTTTAGTTATATTTCACAGTTGAGGATACATATTCCTTGGCTGAATGACCCTAATTCATCCTTGCTGAAAGAGCTAAGAATCCAGGTGAGTACCTGTTTGCCCCGCATATGCCCTAGTTTAATGGACATCAAGAGTACCAGATTGTAAGTATGATGCTAAAGACAACTAAAGATTGAAGTAACTCATATAAATTTATTCAAAAGCAGAAGTGACGACTCTTACCACATTTCTTTGGCCATGCTTGATCCTGGAAGGAAAGTGAAACCACCATCAATTTATTTAGATTCATGAAGTCAAAATGGAGAATGGGTTCCAGAACACTTAGAAAGACATAGGGCTTATGTCTGCTGAAATAGAAGATATTAGAAGTTGAGATGAGCATTTGTTGACTTGAGTTGAGTTGAAATCCTTGTGTGCTTGAAGAAATATATTTGGTAAAATCCAGACTTTTACTTTCTGAAAACTCGTATGCAGCTTAATAGTTATAAAGCATGATTATATTTAACAAAAATGGTTGTCTTGAGCACAAAGGTCCCTAACAAACTCCAATCAAGTAATACCTCTAAAAAGCAACCAGCAGACCCTGCGGCAATTAGGTCTTTGATGGTCCTCTAAACATTGAGAGCATTGCCACCATCAGTATCTGTGAAACAAAGAAATAACTAAATTTGTGGCATCTCAAAGTGCATTCTGTATGTGATTTTGCTAACGGATATAAAAATCAAAAGTGAACCAGCTGTCCTGAGAAATTGATAATTCACCCACAAAAAAAAAAAAAAAAAAAAAAAAAAAAAAAAAAAAAAAAAAACCAACCAATCATATAGCCATATGAATAGTCGTAAATACAACTCCATTGCAGATGATGAAGAAAATGTAGAAGAGTATATTTATAAGTTAGGCAGTCTAATGTGTGAACTGTGAAAGGGATCTTTCATATATATTCTAAATTAGTTTAATTGAAATTCGCATTCATGTACCACTGAGTTAAAGATAGTAGTATCCTGAAAAACAAAAACAAAAATGAGGGAAAGCAGCATGGAAACACACTGAAAGAAAATGATAGATAAGGGTTACATTCTGTAAGTTTTCCCTTGCATGATGCAGGAGTTACCATGCCATATTTACTGATGCTTATACTTCTAAGCAGAAAATTCTTTGGACTACCTTCTCTAAAACCGTTACACTAGAAATTTAAAAGAAAGGGACTTGGCCAGGATATAGTTTTACAACAGAGATGGTGAATATAGCATCATCCTGTAATGATTGGACTTGAATTGATTTGCAATTCAATTAACTGCCAATTCCCTAGTTTGTCTGAAAACTCAAACATATGTCACACTTAGGGCAGCCTGTACCTCCGAATCTTTTCCCTTACATGATTGTGGCAAAAGACATCCTACTTGGAAACTTCAAAAACTGACACTAGCTTCACGCCCTATGTAAAATGCTTCACGCCATATGTAAAATTGTCCATCGCAGTTAGTCAAGACTTGATTTAAGTTCATTCTAAGTTAGCATGCTATCAGTATAGTTTTATTTATTTCTAATTAGAAATAAGAAGACAAAGGTACATTGGTAATTTGCTGGACATGGGCTATGCCAGTGGTT